CAAACAAACTGCAAATATATTAGCTTATTTACTATATTACTGATGTCTAGGGTAATATGCTGTGTGAAAATATAGAAGATTGTACAATGACATTTTACATTGGTTATGTAGGTCAACAACTTGTGAGACCTGTGGCTAATGCAGCATCATTAATTGTCTACAAGTGAAAGATGGGGTGTTCTAGACCAAACCAAATCTTTTTATCTCTCAACCACTAATTATACTGGCATCTCTTTTTAGCTCAAGTATTTCCATATCAATTGTAATGAATAATTTGGTGTATCGTCTTAGGAAAATATGTAGATTACTGTGTAATCACAATATTGCAGCAAACAAGATAAATGCAAGAACGATCACCTAAACATCTAATTAGTTTCTCTATACACTCAGATTTATGCTAGAGCTTCTAATTGCAGCCTAACATTTTAATGAAGGTTTCAACATTGCATAAATAAGACTGACAAACTAGAAACAATATTCATTCATTTTATTTCTTCCCTTGCTCAAAAACAGTTTGCCCTTGTCAAAGTATTGCACACCTGCAAGGGAAGATATGTTTATGTGGGTCTCTGCTACGAGTCTGAAGAATTTCCATTATGAACAGCAATGGCAATACTATAAGGTAATACGGGGGACCCTTTAATAGGAGACAACCACAAATGAAAAAGCGCTAGCGATATTTAAAGTGTTAACGTTCATTCTGAACAGGGCAACATAAAACACATTTTCTTTATCTGGAGAACTGAAAAATGTAAAATATGGTTCTCTTCAGGCAACCTTTTCAGTACAGGGCTTCATCCCAATTTCTCCTACTAAAATCAGTGGCAAAACTCCCCATGACTTGAGTGGCAGCAGGATCTTACCCTTTTTAATGATCTATTTGCAGGTTAGTAACTGCAGCTGGAAATGTATGTCCTACCAAAAGAGGATTTAATTTAAAACATATTAAAAGATTTAAAAAGCACCTTTCGTGAACAAGAAGAAGGAGGCAAAAAATCAAGCAGATGAGTATTTTGACAGCTTGGTTAATAAAAACAAACACTCTGGAAACTCTAACCTGTTTGGTTAAGTGACTGCGGCAGCAATCTGGAGTTTAGTGTTTCTGCACTCTTCACTCTTTTATAGGAAAGCACGGAGAGCTTAACTGTTGGCTTATCTTCATTCCTGTAATGTCTTGTGCCTTGATGAGAATACAGTAATGTTTTTAAGAGTCGTTTTTTATTTGGCTCATTTTTAAAAAACTGTTTGTTTTTAAAACGTAAATGTTAAAGAGATTATTTTGGTCAGAGATGGGTGGAGGTGTTTGTGTTCTTTGATTTGATACCAGTAACATAGGTGCATTTCCCTTTCTTTTGTAAGCAGTTTCTGTACAGTATTTTTAAGTAACTAGTCAAATTTCCTTTCTAAGGTTTGCAAAAAGAAAAGGAGTACTTGTGGCACCTTAGAGACTAACCAATTTATTTGAGCATAAGCTTTCGTGAGCTACAGCTCACTTCATCGGATGTATAAAAGTGGAAAATGCAGTGAGGATATTTTTATACACACAGACCATGAAAAAATGGGTGTTTATCACTTCAAAAGGTTTTCTCTCCCCCCACCCCACTCTCCTGCTGGTAACAGCATTTGTTCCAATCCCTCAGACAGAGACAAACACCTACAAGATCTCTATCAAACATTCTTACAACTACAATACCCACCCGCTGAAGTGAAGAAACAGATTGACAGAGCCAGAAGAGCCACCTACTACAGGACAGGCCCAACAAAGAAAATAACAGAACGCCACTAGCCATCACCTTCAGCCCCCAACTAAAACCTCTCCAACGCATCATCAAGGATCTACAACCTATCCTGAAGGATGACCCATCACTCTCACAGATCTTGGGAGACAGGCCAGTCCTTGCCTACAGACAGCCCCCCATCCTGAAGCAAATACTCAACAGCAACCACACACCACACAACAGAACCACTAACCCAGGAACCTATCTTTGCAACAAAGCCTGTTGCCAACTGTGCCCACATATCTATTCAGGGGACACCATCACAGGGCCTAATCACATCAGCCACACCATCAGAGGCTCGTTCACCTGCACATCCACCAATGTGATATATGCCATCATGTGCCAGCAATGCCCCTCTGCCATGTACATTGGTCAGACTGGACAGTCTCTACGTTAAAGAATAAATGGACACAAATCAGATGTCAAGAATTATAACATTCATAAACCAGTCGGAGAACACTTCAATCTCTCTGGTCACGCGATTACAGACATGAAAGTTGCGATATTACAACAGAAAAACTTCAAAACCAGACTCCAGTGAGAAACTGCTGAATTGGAATTCATTTGCAAATTGGATACAATTAACTTAGGCTTGAATAGAGACTGGGAGTGGCTAAGTCATTATGCAAGGTAACCTATTTCCCCTTATCCACACTGGGGTTAGGTATCTGTAAGGTAATTTTTTTTGTCACAATAACATGCTTGCCTAGACACTGCAAGAGAAGTATGAAAGTCTATGAAAAGGTTTTTGGCAGGGGAAGGAAGACAACAGGAGACATAATGAGTAGCCTGACTCTTTGTTAACGAGTAAATGGTATAATATGTATTAACCACTCAGCTTTAAAAAATGAAACTGGGCCTATGCAGGCACCATAAGAATTAAAACCAGAAACTATTATCTAGAATGAGTAAAAGTTCTAACTTTCTTAATGATTTGGTTCTTTGGTGTTAAATTGAATAAGGGTTTAAAGAATAATTTATTTTTAGTTACCTTCTCTTTAATCATGAAAGCATGGAGTTTTTTTTTTTAATGCAACTCTTTGCTTAATCCTGAAAATCTTTATCAATGCTCTAAAGCAATTCTGTTGCACAGTGTTTGATTTCCATAAACCCTGCAGCACACACATTTATATTTTATGTGAACCGGTTCAGAATCCTTTGAAATTTACAACAGAGAGAGAGTTTCTTACCCTGGATAGAACACAGGTGTAAAACAACATAAAATTAGTGCTGTACCATTGGTTGATTATCTCAGGTCTTTTTTTGCCAGCATTTTAAAAAACATAACCTTCTCTGTCCATTCTTGTCTGCTGATGGTTCTCAGAGTGATGTAGCAAGGTCCACATAGCACAGCAAGCTGGTGCACTGTAGATTCATACCCTGGCTTGCTGAGCAGTAATTTACTGTGTAGACAAGCCCTTAGCTAGTCCTGTCTCTATTTCTTACTTTGTGATATTTGTGATTTAACAACATTATACTCCCTCACAACACAGAGTCTCCTGCTGGACTTGGTGCTAAAGAAATGAATACAATTACACCCAAAAGAACTTTGTGAAAAGAACAATAAGACTGCAAAGTCAAGCACGGAGTTAGAAAATGACAGAATTAAAGGTGGTTGTGAAACCTTTATTCACCCCCCCTTGCATATACATCATATATTCATACAGTTTAAGGTCAGAAGGGACCATTAAATCAACTAATCTGACATCCTGTTAATCATATGCCATAAAATTTCACCCAGTTACCCCTGCACTGAGCCCAATAGCTTGTATTACTCTTGCCAAGCATCACCTAGGATGTCTGAGGAACAGTCAGGAATAGAAAGAAGCTTTTCTGAGTCTCAATCCGATGACTTAAAACACAAGAGAACATGCTCTCTCTTCCTGCAAACCTCTGCCTCATTCACTGTCCCTCTGCAATACACTGAATGAAGCAGGGTACTTTTGCACAAATAGTATACAGCTAAAGGAGTAATTATCAGCAGTAGCAGGATGCTGTGTTCTGTGGAAAAGCCATGAGAGGGATACTTCATACACCCTTTTCCAGTGGTTTACTTAATTAGTTGCTAGATAGCAGAAGAATGCAGGAAGTCGGGATTGCTGGGTTCTATTCCTTGTTCTGGAAGGGAGTGTTATCTAGTGGTTACAAGCAGTACAGCCAAACACACAGATCTGGCACATTCCTTCTGAAAAGTAGCGTTGCTAACGGGATGAGACTTGGGTTTGCCATATTAGAACTGTGATTGTAGTTCCGGCTGTTTCAGAGAGTACCTGGTGTAAATGCTCCGTTACCCCACCTATTGTGTGTGCGTGTGTGTGTGTGGGTGGGTGTGTGTATAAAATTATACTTGCTTTTCTCTAAGATAGGAGGTATGAAGCACTGCACAATAATAAGGGCTGTAAAGTGAACATAATTATTGGCAATTTAGTTGAAGAGCTTAGGCTAGAATTCATGGTCTCCTGGATCCCAGCACAGCATACGTTCTTCCTGATCAGAGAGTATGTTGCAGCTGCTGCTTTGCTTGTGTGCTATCTAGAGTCATATAGGGAGCTCCTTGGCGTTGGGATGAGGCTCACAGCAGATGGGATGTTTGGGGATTTTTTTTTTTTTTAATCAGGCAGCCTCTTATAATTTGGCCAAATAGTGTTGAATTTTCCTGAGGACAGCAAAAGGCCCCTCACTGCCCCACATAGATAACCCCCTGCCAAATCTCACATACTTACTCCAAAGCATGGAGTTGTTAGCACTCTTCACACAAACGGTTAGAAACATTTTTAACACGGATAAAACAGCTTAGTTTCCCTTCACTCCATTTTCAGAGATGGCAGAACTATCTTCACCGAAACTTCCAAAAATAATTCATCCTGAGGCAAGCCTGGAAATTTTTGGTTGAAGTTTGGGAAAGTTATATGCAACGGAAAAGAATGGGGCTTATCATGGAAAGTGTCAGAGCGCCTTACCACCACCACCAGCCCCGTCTATAGTATCACCATCAGCATTATGATTTCATTCGTGGTCGGATCAAATAGGAAGGCAACAAACCATTGTTTACCACAAGTGTCATCAACAACTAGCAAGCTTGGCAAAAACATTATGAAAATCAAGAGATTAAGAGACTCACATTTAAGTGAAATGCAAAAGCTTTTTGCAGCTGGAAAGTATGGCTGTTAGATAGTATTGCTATCAATCAGTCTTCACATATTGTTCACTTTAGTTTCTTACCATTTTGACTTGTAATCTGATTTGTCTGGTGAATATTTTCTTTGTCCCCTTGATCAAAAGCCTTACAGAACGGTGAGGGAGACAGTCCAGACCTCTTGGTATCTCTTATTGACTTGCTTCCTTTTTCTAATGTCAGTTGTTGGCATGATCTGCTACTTCGGCTACCCAAGGACTTTGTTATCTTTAAGAAAAAAAATCTGAATAAAAGGTCACGTTACAGCTTTAAGATTAGCTCTCTAAACTGAACTAAAACCAGATTTTGGATAAAGTTTATTTTTCACAATAGATTTTCCTCAGCCCATTTTATTTTTTACATTAACTTTGCAGGAAAAAAAAATAACCAAGGTACCCACGTCACCTCTTCCTTGCTTACAGCTACTTTCTCACTGTAAGCCCAATGCCTGATTTCTTCGGAATCCTCAGCTCCACCAAGTTTTGCCTACACGTAAAATGCCTTTTAGGATACAGCTGAGCAAAATGAGTTTCTCAAAAAACTTGGGATCTCTATGGTGCTTGCATCTGGGTTAATGACAGAGAGTGCCAAAAGTAACCATTAGATAATTTTTCAGCAAAGGTCTAAATACTTTGAAAATAAGAGAGAGAACTATGTGGTGGGAAAGGGAGGGAAAAATTAACAGGAGAGGGGAAGAAATGGAGGCAATGGAAGATGGAGATGTGCCATGCCAGAATTAATTTAAAATTAAGCTCATGCTTAAGTTGATTCCCTTTCTCATCCATAAAAAGCTGATATTACAAGCCAATAACAACATCAGTTATTTATTATGACACTCACTGAGGTTTATAAGGAGTTTCTCTTATACTGCATTTTACCCTGTAGCAGGTTCCCTCTGCATGGAGGTTCTGTCCTCAGTTGTTGGGACATATACCCTAGGGGCAGGGAGATATTTATAGCATCTTATGGGACACTGCTGGTGAGAATCACAGATGTGCATCAGGATATGGGTGAAATTACAAAAGGAATCAGGTGACATTACTGGTGCGACCTCTACCAGAGGATTCTCGGTTGTGAAAAGCTACAAATAGGAGGCTACTATTATGCAGAGGCTGGGGATATCTTCTGTGTTTATAGTAGCATAGATGATCCATTAAAATGCATTTAATATTTTTATGTGGGTCTGCTACATGTTAATCATTCATAGTTTTAACACTTTAAGCTTTTGAGAATGGCACGAATTAAGGCACTTTACACTTTATTAAGCAGACTAAAAACCACAATTTTTCCTCCCTTTCCCTTCTCAAGAACCACTGCTCCTTCTCTGGAGGAGCTGGTTTCTCTCAGTCTCTCCAGTTGAAGGCATTCTGCTGTGTATAAATAATTAAATAATTATTGGACTAAGGAGTTGAATTTTGGTCTCCCATCTGCTAGGTCAACGCTCTACCACCAAGCTATAGAGTTATTCTCGCTCTCTTTCCATAGCCCAAACACTATTCATTGTCACAACGAATCACCCACTCACTACATATGTGAATGGAGAGTTTGCCTCTTGCATGGTGGCCCTCTTATTAGGGAAAAATTCCACTTAAACACATGGAAAAATCTTGCTTTTGTCAAACTTCATTCCTACTTTTACTTACAAAACCATAAAAATTTAGCACTTTAAAAATAAACTTTATGAGAAAAATAAATGTACTCAAGAGAAAAGAAATTAATTCTGAAGAAAACCTTTTTGCAAAACCTTTGTTCTTCCATCATATACAAACATAATTTGGAGTCTGGCTCTCAAGAGATAATAACTGTAATAGTTCCTTTCAGATATGTGGTACTGGTTTTGTGATAGTTTAATCCTTCGTCTTACCTCTCCAGATACCCTTGTGTTGAATCTTCTGCCAGAAGGTGGAGGTGGACCGAGGACCTTGGATCCAAATGCAATGTGAGACACATCTTGATTTTTACTGTTGTGTGTACTGCCTTGTCCTCTATTAATTAACTGGTCTACTTAAAAAAGAAAGACACCTTTTCAAACATGATGCTTTAGACTGAACATATTTATAAGCATGATATATCACAGTATGTGACACAATAGCAAATTCTTATTTCTTCATTCTTGCTTTTCTATTCATTTAAATAATTATTTCATAAATCATATACGAAAAAATCATACTTCCAAGAAATAACTGATGTATCTTTCTAACACCACAACAGGTATATATATTACTGCTGACAAAATACAAATGTATCTCCTTCCTTTTCCATTTGACAGTGTGCCCAGTGCAACAGATACTATAAACACATGGAACAGTCAAAGAATATTATATCATCATTATAAATGATTCATGTACCTCTATGGGCTAGGGATTGTATTCTGTCTCCATGTGGGAGTTACAGGTTTTCCTGCAGAAACTAAAATCACTGGGAAGTGTTGGGGCATCATTAAAAGCAACTCAATAGCAAAGCCCTGGGCTTTGAAAGAAAAAGACATGTTTAAAGAAGATAAGAAATGCTGACAATAAACTATCACCATGTTTTCCATAACGCCTTCTCTTAAGGATAATACACATATAGTTACTTATACCATTGAAATAGAAAAAAAAATAGTTAATGGTAAGATTAAGAGCTTCGATAGCTAGATTTTTAGTTATTTGTAATAATGTATAGTGAATGAGTACAGATGAGGTAACACTGATGCCAAGTCCTTGCTGACATAAGTGTGGTATTGTCAATTCATCCTTTACACAGAATTGCTAATCTGCTTAAAATGTTATTGGTGATAGAAAAAAGGTCACATGCGTTGGAAGATATAAGTAAGAAGACATATCATGTAATGATAAATACCCCCCCTTCTTTTTTCTTCTGGGAAGACCCAGAGCAGGGTGACACAAAAACATGACCCAGAAACTGCAAAACCAGTTGGAAAAATACAGAATTGGGGTAATTGAAGCTTGTACATGCATAATGTCTGGGTTACATAAAATCAAAAGGGTTGATGTGTGAAAAGCCTATCGGACAAGGATTACATAATCTGTAATACAAAAAAGTATAAAAGACCTAAGTGAATATGGATCCAAACTCAAGAAACATTAGACCAGAAACTGAAGAACAGGACTGAAGCACCAGACCAAGGGATCAGAGACTGCGATGACTATCATGGAAGGTAGAACTTCCTGGTGCCCCAGAATGTGGTAACTTGGGCCCATTTACCAATTCTGTTTTCTCTTATTATTTGTCTGGCATAACTGTACATGCAGACTCTATTAGTGACAATAATTCTGTCTGAAATTGTATAAATAAAGGTGAAAATTGATTTAGCCTAAATCGAGTGGGGTCGTGACTCTGTTTCCCAACTTTTATTCCCAGCAGGAATAATTAAAACAGGCAGCAAATCTGGAGAAGCCTCAGCCCCTGGGGTAAATTGCCGATACTAATTTGACCCAGCTCAAACAAATAAATGAAAAAGATAATATGACCACCCGGATGTGGGGAGAGGTCAATCTCACCTGACCCAAGAACTGTTGTGAGACTGTGGCCAAAGGGACAGCCCCTGTGAGAGGCCCTGAAGTACTCTGAAACCTGCCAGGGTCTCCATGTGGTAAGTGGGGGACACCTGGTAAGGTAGACATACATATAAGCTGTTTATTGTTTTTAAGGTGTATTTTTGTGTAATATTTTTGTTCTGGATAATTAATACTTTTCTTTATGAAGGCTTGCCCTTGAGACAGATGGACTGCAAGTGCTGAAATGAACTCAGACTTCCTGAGGTGATCACAGTGAATTGCAAGAGGAACTGCAGCCTAAATTCTCAACCAAGAAGGGAATGTGTCCCAGGACTCCACTCTGAGAAAGGTGACAGCTAGACCCTGAGATCTAAGTGATGTGCCTTCAAGCAGGTCACAAATAAATCAGAGGCGCAGTTAGCTTGGGAACGGACACACCAAAGTTGAAGCAAGTCAACATTATAAGGTTATTTCTGTACACTCTTAGCTTGAAACAGTTGTTTAAATACTGTGGTTTAAAAACTGAGTTAGAAGTAAATAAAAGTATCATTTTTCTCTGCATGATTACTGAAGGAATACAATATAAAGCGTATGTTGTAAACAGGCAGAAGGAACAGCTCAAATTCATAAAGAATTCAGATAAAAGCTGTAGCTTGCCAGTCAAGATATCAGTTACAAGTTCTGTAAAGCATCTGATACAAGAATTATTTATGTGTAATTTTACCATCTGAAGATATAGAGCCACCTCAATTTCAACATTTGGGCTCCAATCCTGCAAATACATACACAGGTAATTTTTCAGCTCAAACTTTTTACTCTTATTTTTCCCATGAACATTTAAAAAAATTAACTTCTTTGAAAAAAACTGAAAAATGTCAACCAGCTTGATAGCTGGTCAGAAACCAAACCAAACCAAAAGGTAGATGGACATTTTCATTGAAAATGTCTTGTGGTGAAAGGTGGATAAGCGGTTATGCAGTGGAATATAGCTCATCTTCAGAGAACAATTGTAGGTAAGGTACTTTAAAAAAGATTCCCAAAGATTCTTATTTCATTGGATCACCACTTCAGGAGCTGATAAAGATCGAGGATGTCTTGGCAACAAAATATTGCATTTCAGAAAGAAAAAGTTACTCTAATACGCTGTTTTAAGAAAAACAAACAAAGCATTCTCCCCTCGCCCTCTTCTCTTTTAACACAGACTAAATTAACATCTAATTTTCTGTTTTGAGATGTGATATTTCTGTAAAACAATAAAGTAATACCAAAGCATATTTCTGAGAGTCTCGTTTATCGTTTTTACAATGGTGGAACTGGTTAAATTTGAATTCAAATCAGTCTGACTTTCATTTTCAGCTAGGAAATGTCAACAAGTCCACATATTTACCACTCTCTAGCATCATTCACTAGTATTACTCATAACAAAAGAAGTCCCTGTATGCCATGAGTTCCTTGTTCTCCTCTTCCTGAAGTGACATTCAGTTGCTATTAACAGCTGCCATCTCTATAGCTTAGATGACCCATTCAGTTTACTGTCAATTTCTTTAATTTGCTGACTACTTTGGGAAGCCTTTTGCCCACACACCAATTATAAAAGCTGATTAACATGAAAATTCTCTGTTTATGTTCATATTAATTGACTGCAATTAATTGCCTACATCAACACATCTGCCACAATGAACAAATATGTGTAGTTAAAAGAAGGTATGACCAAAAAATAACTTGAGCTTTTGATTAGTAAAACAAAATGAAGTTTAGTGGATAAAAAGAAAAAGTTTCTAATTAAACTGAAGCTTAAACTTATCAAAGCTTCCATTTGCAGGAAGGCCTGATTTCTGAACTTTGAAAGGAGTGTCTGGGAGAACTTATAGTCATAGTACAAGGTTAAAAACAAAGATTAGATTAAACCCGCAGCTCAAGGCATTTCATTTTCTCTAGTTAGCGAAAACCAAAACTTTGTGTAGGTCAGGGATGTTACCATTAATTATTTTACTACTTTGCCAAGGGCTTTATGCCTTTGTAGTTAGATAGGAAAACCTGAGGGCTCACCGTCTAATTGTCCTTTTTAAAATAAGCATTCATTTTTCTCTCTAGATACATCATTCTCATTATTTTAGTCATTTAATTTTTACACCCCTCTCATCCAAAGCCTGAACAAAAAGTGCTGATTTTTCAATCTGTTGTCATGGAGAGGTCACACTCCAGGCTTTTCTTTGCTATCTAACAATAAAATTAGTATGAAACTTTTTAACAGAACTTTGGCTTGACTATTTCTGAGGGAAAAAATACTACAAATATTATTTGTCTTTGAATATTACTCTGATTTTCAAATAAATATTCTTGCATATGAAAAGATGTTAAAAACCAGTTTAAACAAGTAAAACTATTAAGGGCCCAATCCTGCTCTGAACACAATAAATGAAAAAAACTACCATTAACTTCAGTAGTGTAAGATGAACCCTCATTGACTGAGAGTTGATTCAGCACAGGGCAAAAGGTTAAGAATTTGCAAAAGCATCTGACATTAGACACAAAATGAATGCAGGTGATAGAAGAGCTTTGTGAGTAAAGAAAACAGTATAAGCCTTGGTTAAAATAAAAGGGAGTCGGTTTAAAAGGGAATTTTAGAAGCATCCCTTCTCCCACATTATCAAGAGCATGCATGAACAGGACAGACTTGTGTTTGGTTCAAATGCCAGGAAAGGTGGCAACTTCTTTAGAACAAGCTGTTAAACTGGGTACTGAACACATCTAGGTACTAAGAGTAGCTTGAACACTGAAGGATTCCAGATGTGCACATCCTACTTGACCCTTTTGCCCCTAATTTCAGATATAAGTCTCAAGCAGTGGTGCGGTCAGGAAACTCCCAAAAGGTCTGCCCTGAACTGTTCTCCTGCAGGGGACAGCAAGAAAGCAGAGTACAGTTGAAGTGCTGCAGCACTCAGCTGCAAGAGTTTGCTCCTGCTTCAAGCATTACTGTTATAGCAACTTCACCCTGGGCAGGAAATCTAAACTCCATGAGACCACTCCAGCTGCTCCAGAGCAGACAGTCTCACCTGTGAAACTAGTGTGACTGAACCCCTTACTCCTGATAACTGCTGGGGGCAGTGGAACCAGAAGAGAAGGGTGGAAGGGGGTTTGGCTGGCATCAGGGTACAGCCTATCAACTTGTCTGAGCTCTTGTAGTTCATTCAGTCCATTGTGAAGCAGGTTCAAGGGATGGTTACAGAAATGACTGCCGCTGTAAGTCTGGCATTTCTTTTGACCTATTAGTCCCTGTCCCAACAATGTTTCGTCTTCTACCAATGCGGAAGAGGAATTCTCTCTTTATGCCACGAGTCTTACCTTTGTGCCCTCCAATCACGAGGCTTTTTGAGGAACTGTGGACCTGGCCAATAGTGCCCATCGTTAAAAAAGGGAAGAAGGAGAATCCGGGGAACTACAGACCAGTCAGCCTCAGCTCAGTCCCTGGAAAAATCATGGAGCAGGTCCTTAAGGAATCCA